TCTTTCACCCTAATGCACCTGTTCCCCTAGCAGTAAAAAGGTACCTGGGAGCTAGACAGCTGCTACGGGATGCCTCCCGAGGATGTGTGTGTGTAGGCGTGTGTGTGTGTTAGAGAGAAATATATATGTATTAGACAAAATAGAGTAAGGAGACATGATCACAACCTACACAATTTTCAGAGGAATTGACAGTGTAGATAAAGATAAACTGTTTAACATGGGTGGTACGCAAACAAGGGGTCACAGGTGGAAACTGAGTACCCAAATGAGCCACAGGGACGTTAGAAAGAACTTTTTCAGTGTCAGAGTAGTTAACTGATGGAATGCATTAGGCAGTGATGTGGTGGAGGCTGACTCCATACACAGTTTCAAGTGTAGATATGATAGAGCCTAGTAGGCTCAGGAACCTGTACACCAGTTGATTGACAGTTGAGAGGCGGGACCAAAGAGCCGGAACTCAGTCCCCGCATGCACAACTAGGTGAGTACACACACACACACACACACACACACACACACACACACACACACACACACACACACACACACACACACACACACACACACACACACACACCTATGCATATTAGAGGACGTCAATTCCCACAACTCTGTGTCTCACGCTCCACTAACACGCGCACCCACGCAAAAAAAACAAAAAATTGCCCTCAAGCTCTGTGTAGTCCATAACCATATATACTGCTGGGCGACTTTTACTGCAGTGTTTGTAATTACAGCATGATGAGCTAGGTATCTGGGGCTCGCCATTACCGCCACTGTATTCCCAGGAGAAATTAGCACACACATGCAGGCTAGCCAATTACGCTGAGAACCGAGTTGTATTATACAACGATAAAATAGATGTTGTGTCTAAGCTATGGGACCAAACATTCTCACGCACGTGAATACCACATACACACACACATACATTTATATCCAAACAAAATTGATACAAACGCAAAAAGATATACTTCACAACTCGATAACAAGCTGACTGTAATGGGATGAAAGGACTGTATTATCACAGACTACCAGAACATCTCTGTTATAGCCTCCCAAAGGAGAAAAGAAACAATAAAAAATAAAGCAGCATAGAGGAGCAACTCAAAGTATAAGTAAGAAGAAAGAGACTAACGGTAAATAAAATGGTCTGTGAATGATGAGGAAATATATTAAAAATTAATAACAGGAGGACAACAAGGTTTGATCCTGTGACTCAGTAACTTATGTAAATGAGCTTCCTGTAAAATAATCCATTTTGACGAGAGAACACAAACAGAATATTTAGATGAAAAGAACCGTGAAGCTTACGACACATCGAGAGTACCACCAAATGCCTTTGTATGTATTCTTTATGATACCTGCAGACAATACGAAGCTACCAGAGAATAACAGTATCACTTGTACAGCATCATTCAAGACGTTAGCATACATAGCAATTATAGCCTCCAGAAATCACACACGAGGCAATCATTCATAAGAACAGCCTACGTGAACTGTACATCAACTACGTGAACAAAGTATACGTAAGATCAACCTTCAAGACTCATACACAACTAGTATACGTAAGGGACAGCCTTGACGAACCGTGCGCGAAGCTATCATTTACAGAACAACCTTTAAGAACCTTGAGCAAACCTAGTATACATAAGCAGATGATACATAAGCAGTCACAATAACGTGGCTGAAAAATGTTGACCAAATCACCCACTAGAAAGTGAAGAGACCACGCCGACTAGTATACATAAGAACATGCTCTAAGAATCATACGTGAAGCAACCACACTTTATCTTTTCGGACCCATAAAGGAACGAGCATAGATATAAGACCAATCTTCAAAAATCAACACAAGGAAATATTGAACGTAATCTACATCATCTATGTAAGACCTTCGTTATCGCGTATCTTCAAATCCAAGTCAGTCAGAGAAAGAAAATTGTCTGTTAATATATCTAAGCGCGATACTGGCAGTGCACCTAAACAGACTGTTCAATCCAGTTAAAAGTTGAACGTGTGGAACATAGGTAGAGACCTCTGAGACCGGCTGAGACATAGATGAGACAGCCGTCTAGGAACATCCTGCACATGGGTTTGAATCCCCATTATGACCATTGTGGATTTGTTCAGACAGTGGATATGTTAGGATTCTGTTTAGTGTGCGAATACAAGACAAGTGAGAAGAGCTCGAGGGGATTAGTGGTGGGGGGAGGGGGGGTGGAGACATGCACACGAGTTTGAAGATTTTTAAAGGCAGTGAACTTTACCAAAAGGTTTAACATGCTCAGGGGCAAGAGAGAAGACAAAGTTGGAAACATGAAATTCAGTTAAGCCATCAGCATACATGAAAGCCCTTCTTCTGTGTATGAATACTGAGCAAGTCAGCTGAACTGAAAAGGAAAAGATACATCTATAGATTCAAGACCGATTTGATAAACAGCAAGTTGGTCAGGAGCAATTGTACTAGACGACTAATGCGAGCAGAGTCATCGCATTAAACTATGCAGCCTCCCCTCACCAAGCACATATTAGCTACCACATGTAGGCTGGAACACACACACATTCAAGCGTACACGTACACGCTCCCTAGACTCATGCCCACTATATAGGTGATATTTCTGGCCAGGAAGCCGGAGCGAGAGAGTTATAGACCCACTGTGCTGGAGGGTATTGGAACAAGAGGTCTAGCTGTATATCCTAACACTAACCAACCAAACCCTGAACGCTCTATGCTTGGCTACAGTGTCCCCCGCTGTTCCCTCTTACATTCGCCTGTACCTATTCGAATGCTCTAACTTTAACCAAACTCTCATAGGTAAGAGGTTAAGCCAAATCACATCAATTTTTTCTACCTTTTTTTGCGTTCATACGAAGTCATTACTTGTGCATGAATATATTTAGGTTCAATTACCTTAAGTTTAATTATAGTCGCTGCCCCTACTCAAACAGGCCTCGTATGCATTATAATGACTCAACCCATCACCTCGAGGGGTAACGACCTCCATTACAGCTACAGGGAACAGTAAATTAACCAGATTTATTGTTATTACAATATGACCAAAAACATATTTACCTCAATATGTTTCTCTGTTTCTGGATAATTGTCTATGTTTATTAATTGTGTTGAAATTAAGACCTCGGGGTCCTTGCCTTACCCAGAACACAAGCCAGAACACAAGCCAAGAACACTCCAAGCCAGTTTCTTCTGGGTGCCTAGGAGTGGACAGCATGAAGGAACAGGGAAAGGTATATATTTTAACCTCGACATTCACCTCTCACTTTATATATTGAGTTTACTGTTATTTCTATTTTTCTCTTTTTACGCGATTTGATAATGGTCCAAAACGGAGCGAAACGTCTTCACTCCCGTTATTTTCAGATGTGCGAGTTGCGTGTCTAACGGAGAATACTTCTGTTCTTTGACCAGGAAAGAACAGGGTGATGGAAAGTTGACCATGCGTATTAGCTCTTCATGTCTGTGCCCGACCCAGTGTGCTAATTACAAAACAACCAGTGTGTCTTGGGCTGGACGGTCGACCGACGGTAAACCGACGGTCTCGCTTCGAGCAGGTCGGCGTTCAATCCCCGACCGTCCAAGTGGTTGGGCACCATTTCCCCTCCCCCCCTTCCCATCCCAAATTCTTATCCTGACCCCTCTCCTGTGCAATACACTCGTAATGGCTTGGAGCGTTCCCCTCATAGTTCCCTTCCCTTCCCTCATTTTGTACCCAACCACTTGGGCTGGACGGAAGAGCGACGGTCTCGCTTCATGCAGGTCGGCGTTCAATCCCCGACCGTCCAAGTGGTTGGGGGGCACCTTTCTTCCTCCCCCCCCCCCCCACGTCCAATCCCAAATCCTTATCCTGACCCTTTCCCAGTGCTATATAGTCGTATTGGCTTGGCGCTTTCCCCTGAAAACTCCCTCCCTCATTTTGTTGTAGCTTGTTCCTAGTGATTGGTTGGTCAATGTAATACAATGAATCAATCCAAAGCCACAAATTCCAGAGAAGTTTGATTGATATTTGGCTTTAGATCTATCTACCACCTGAGGGTTATTAAGGTCACCACAAAAGTTTACTAATAGCTGAAGGTTACATTCGTCCTTAACATCGTCCAGGGCTATAAGTAAACTCTCAGCATATGTATACCAGGACGTGGACTTCATACCTATGTGTACATATTCCTTCTGTATTGCATTGCGAATCCTAAAACTAATCCTGAACTAAGAGCTGAGCTGGTTACCTTGCTCCCTGATGATAACTGTTCATCACAATTACATTAGTGTAACTGTCAATTTAGACATTACATGAGCGAGAGGGACACTGTCACACATGCACACTGACAAACCAGGCAATTCATTCAGCGTTTCAGCCATGGTCAATGACCCAACCCCTTCCGGGTAATTACCTCTGCCATTTCCGCATCGAAATTCCTCTCTTCGTGTTGATAAACAGCAAACCCGATTGGAAGTGAAGATGGTCATTACATTTCAGAGGCATTTTTCTCTTTCGAGATGACACATTTTTGGGAGAGGATGGTTTTTGTTTGGAATGGTTGTTGATCAAGCAATATTAGGTCATACTTGATGAAGTACGCTGCAGTAATGGTTATTCAAAGCAATAAAAAAATATGTTTTAATGAATAACAAATGTTCACACGAATGAATGCTTCCACCTTGCGTTTATATGCTGGAGGCTACAACTCTACTACACACTATCTTCCTCATTGTAGCCATCTTCACTACACTCAACCCTTCTGCACAATAATATGAACAATCTCGTGGCAGCAATCAACTTCACTACCTGGGCTCCACCGGGTTCCCTTCTTCGAGCCCTTCATGGAGCTACAGGAGGTCCAGGACGCCTGTGGATTCCACTTTGGCCCATTGGACACTTAACTCTTCTGAGAAGCAGGACCGCCACCTGGTGTCCACATTGCTCACCTGTGCTGCCGTCGAATAATGACCTGGACTGCACAATATTCTCGCCCGGCTGGAAATGGGGGATGAGGTAAATGTACAGGGGATGGGAGGGGACAAGACTACAAGGAAGCCGTCACTCAGACCCTCAGCCTAATCTCCCAGCAAACGTAGGTGATCGCCATGAATGTGAGTTACTCTGGACTATAACCTGCAGATCTCGTCCGCAAAGCTTTCCCCCCATGAAGCTTTGCGGTGAAACTCATAAGTTGATTCTTGAGTTCATCCAACTAAAACGTTATAACTTCGAGTAAATCCTCAATTTATTGTAGCCACAAATCAGCACATGCCCCCCGCACCACGGTACAGGTTCCAGTGACGCCACCTGCGTCACACAACGTCACGTAGGCGCTCCTCCCACGTCACGTAACCTCGGGTCGCTTCCTCTTTGGTCATGTCCTTCCATTCCCGGGAATTTCGGTGTCGCTGCCTGCGAGCGATTCATGACAGAAAAGCTCTCTCCTCGGGACGGAAAGTTCTGCTATCTTTATCCAAAAAGTCTAAATAGGCTCTTCCCGCCCCTCCGTCCTATCTTAAATCCTTATCTTGACTAACTTCCAAGGGCTATATAGTCGTAATGGCTCGATGCTTTCGTCTTATAACTTCCAGCTTCTCTCCCTCCCCAATATTAAAACAGAAAAAATCTCAAAATTAGACTTCTTGCCTCCCTCTAAGCGTAATCAATCAAGTCTTGGGTACATCTACCTATGTACAGAAGGAGAATTACTCTTGACAAAGGATAAGTGGCGTGTCTGGTGATGATAAATGCATCACTATTTTATTTAAAAACATTTTCAAATAAAGTCTTATTTAAACTGTTTAAGCATTTTCCTTTCTTATAACGAGAGAGACAAGGCAAACACACATAGACAGACGCAAAGACAGACATACGCACACACACAGTGACAGAGAAAGAGGCAAGAGTGACAGACATGCAGTAGATAGATAAATGAATGGATAGATGGAAACATGGATGAATAGATGGATAGACAAGTCAATAGACTGACGGATAGATAGATGGATAGATTGATGGATGGCTAGACCCATGGGTAGATTGACAGATGAACGAACAGATGGATATAGATAGATGAATGAACAGATGTATAGATGGATAGATATAGACAGATGAATAGATGGACGGATAGATGGATTGATAGACATGTGTGTCCTCTGGTTCACCACTGTCAAGACCAATGGTCGGAGTAATGGTTGGTGAACCAAACGAACTCGTCAAAACAAGCAATAATTCTGCAAAATCTCTGAATTTAGCCATAAATACTTGTTTGGTTTCCCCTTTAACTTTATCAGGACGTCAGAGGGGGCTTCTATAATCATGTTTTTCCAGCGAGGACCCGCCCGTCCTCTACCTGCAGATGGTCAATAACCCACACGTGGGAAATCCAATTAATATCCACTTTCAGGGCTGGTCTGTTTGCCTCCAGGCTTAATTAATACGAGGCTTCTTGGCATAAAGATTTGGTAATGCTGTTCGTCTCTTGAGGGTTACTAGCGGGTGTTTTCACTTTAGTGTTACTAACAGGTGTTTTACCGCCGTTTGTTTGTCTTACAGCATTGGCGAACAAACAAAATCTCGTCAACTTTGACGTGTATTTTGCGTACTCGTAATAACAAAGAGTAGGAATACATCTGCATTGTCCTTATCAATGATCTCATTGAGTGTGGAAGAGAGAGAGATATTAGGGGATAGAAAACATTTATTCTGCTTCGAGGATCACGATGGATATAACAGAGAGAAGAGCAACAGTCAAACAGGCATTAATAAAGCCACGCTGACTTGACCACACATTAGAAAGTGAAGGGACGACGACGTTTCGGTCCGTCCTGGACCATTCTCAAATCGATTGTGAGATTAAAAACCGACGTGAGAATGGTCCAGGACGGACCGAAACGACGTCGTCCCTTCACTTTCTAGTGTGTGGTATGGTCAACATACTTCAGCCACGTTATTGTGACTCATCGCCTGCATAATAAAGCCACCTTCGAGCAATCCGTACACCCCTCTCCCTCCCCCCCCCCCCCCCCCCTCTGCAAGGAATAAACTCCTCGCATCTTTCTCGGGAAAGAAAGAACTCTAGAGAGATACATTTTGCTCTGGTTTACTCCCCAATATTGACAATGCTGTCAGGTGTGTTTGTCGGGCATTATGCGGCCTCACTATAGGCACCTATATCACCCACACGTCTAGGGCAGAGTATATCATTCTCTTTGTTAACATATTTTCTCATGTAGCGAGAAAATGTGTAAATTATTAACAGCTCGAAACATCTCGTCGTGTTTGTTGGGAGGAATATTATAAAATACTGAAGGATGGGCACTCAAAGATTTATTATATATACTGTTAATGTTATCATGTGTTCGCTTCTTGCAGATCGGCTTTCAACATTTCAATTTCAATTTCAATCCTCAACTGTCCTAGTGTTTCGTCATCATTTCTTTTCTCCGCCCTGTCCTGAAAGCTTGCCCTCATATCCTATTCAAGTGTTATATAGTGGTAACGGTTTAGTACTTTCTCCTGATAATTACCTTACCATATGGTGTTGTGTGTCTCTCCTGCACGTCACATGATGCAATGCGTCCACTGTCACTCCAAGATACTGACACAAGACACTTGAGTTCAATCCTGTATCATTTGGCATTATACTGAAACTGCGTATTCACTAAAACGTCCATCTCTCACACCAATACACACACTGAGGGGGGTCAGTATCAGTCATGGCTCCCAAACCATAATATTAACCGTAGGTGTTCACTATGACGTTCATCTCGCACCAAGATACACACACTGGAAGTTCATTACGTGTCCTGCTCCAGCAACATTCTCATGCATGATTGAGAACACATCATCACCAACAGCCATTTGTGTGTTTACAGAGCTTGACGCCGCCGCAGTTCATCTTCTGGTTCCACAACAACAAGATGATCAACTACGACCAGTCCCGGGGAGGGATCACGGTCACCATGGACCACCAGGACCTCACCACCTCCAGGCTCACCATCAACAACGCCAGCCTCAAGGACTCCGGCAACTACACCTGCAACGCAAGCAACATCAAGCCGTCCTCCGTCAACGTGTTTGTCTCTGAAGGTACACCATTATTCACTCTTACTAGAATGGCTATCCGGCTGTGTCCGGATAACTAACTGTTTGCCTGTTTACTTGTCTATGTCTGATTCTCTGTGTCTGTTTCCTTGTGTCTGTCTCTTTTGGAACATGTAAATTTATGGTTACAAACTGTTGAAAAAACCATTGGATTTTAGACCATTAGAGTTGCTGCGAGTAACAATAGAAGCAAACTCTTCTTGAAGGGGAAGTAATGGGACAGACCCGAAGCCTCTTATGACAGTCACCTACCACCAATCATTCATGATGTAAAGTTGGATGAGGCTAGTACCAAGCTTCTGACCTCTAGCCTCGGATACCCAGCCAGACATGCAGGCAAACAAAATGATTCTAACACGATTCTTCTCAATATTTCTTACGTTTTTCTACACTGTCGAGGGTAATTGAAAAATTAACTTTCCAAAGCTCATTTTCACATTTTATATATATATATATATATATATATATATATATATATATATATATATATATATATATATATATATATATATATATATATATATATATATATATATATATATATATATATATATATATATATATATATATATATATAAATATATATATATATATATATATATATATATATATATATATATATATATATATATATATATATATATATATATATATATGTATATATCACTGACCGCTCTTGAGTATCTAGTTTGCCTAATGAGTTTCTCACTCACCTCCATCAGGAACTTAAGTGCACATTAGCACTCTGTTTGGGCAGAAATAAATGGGCAGATTTCCTTTCACACTAGTGCGCCTGTTCACCTAACAGTAACTAGGTACCTGGGAGTTAGACAGCTGATACGGGCTGCTTCCTCGGGATGTGTTTGTTTGTGTGTGCTAGAAAGAAGTATAATAGAGAAAAAATAGAATGTTTTGAAAGGCGGGGTCCAAGAGCTAATTGCTTGATTTTCCAAACACAAATAGTAAATACACACAAACACACAGTCTATTCCAAAACGGAATAAACAGTGCCTTGGACGGAAATAGTTATCCGCTTACTGTTTATAGGCGACATAAATGTAAGGAAAAGTTTCGCAAAATGCATCAAGCACTTCCTTGCTTGGGAAATGTTTGAGAAAATGGTGCAAATTTTTTATTGTTTTTATGGAGAAATGCGCCATTTTTATCCCCTGAGCACTTGGAGGGAAATCTAGTCATAAGACTATCATGAATAATTGATCCACTTCCTATTAGGGATCTTCAACGAGTAATTCAATATAAGCGGCTTCAATCACTTACTTTTGTTCCCTTCTATAAGTGACTAACCGAAAATCATGGGTTATGAAGCGCAAAATGGGATCGTATAGAGGATGGGCTCTAATGATAACAACCTGTCCTCTTAAAAGAACGTTTCTTTTCGCTCGTAGCGTTACACAAGGCAAAACAATTGTTGTACTCGGAAATGGAACTGGCTGGCGAAAGTGTCGTGCTGCCCCGTTTTCTGTTTCGGGTCCTCTGGCAGATTAGGAGAGGACACTTTACATTGATGGTTTTCTTGACGTTGGGAAGCTTTAGCAGGACTGGCTGGGTTATCAGGTCTTGGGTGATTGCGTCAGCTGACTACGCAGCTTGCTCTCCTATGTTTCCCAACGTCAAGAAACTGTCGTACTAAAGTGCCCTTATCCTAACCCACAAGAGGATCCAAAACATGAACCGGATTATATTTGTCAATTTTGCGAGCCGCTACCATTTTCAAGTATGACAATTTCTTGGATGTGAACGACAATGTTCCTACACAACCAAATGATCAATTCAGGTAAGAAATCGCTTCTCTGTTTTGGAGTAAATTTTTTCAATGTTAACTATGTGATATTACTAAAAGACGCAATTCGCCACATTATATATAAAATTAAGTTTGCAATGTCATGTAGCTTATTTAATAATTTCTTAAATTATTTGATTGATTTGAATTTGCTCACTTTCTGGTATTATTATTATTATATATGAAAAGTAATCTTACTTTATATTCATTTCTTTCGACGCTATTATTAATTTTTAGATACTGAAAGATTGTGTGTTTTTGTGAATTAGTTCTAATAGTTATTAGCCGACTAATAAAATACTTATGGAAATATATAAACAGCCTGAATTTTAGTTGTTTTTTTTGGTACGTAATTTATAAGTTATATAGGCAAACGGATATCATCTTTCCGAGTTACACAGTTGGTAAGATGATCACACACACACACACACACACACACACACACACACACACACACACACACACACACACACACACACACACACACACACACACGGACACAACCCCCTCCCCACCTTCCCGTAGCCACAAGAACACGCAATCACATGATCCATAAACATTCTGAGCCCAACATGAAAGCTCAAAAGGTAGGCGCGAACAATCCCTCCCATCATTAGCTTCCCCACACACAGTTTTCATGTTTACTTTCCCTAGTCCCACCGGTTTGCTTTGATACACTGATACATGTGTATTTATGTATCGCTGCCTTATACGACGCGCGCACCGCAAGGAAGAGTTTAATGACCAACTAATATCACCACTAATATAGAGAAGAAAAACAAGGCCACGACAACTGTGACTCTTCTCATGTATTGAAATGAGTGTTGTTTTGATTAAGACAGTGTGTTGACAGATCGTCAGTCTATAAGTGACAGATCATCAGTCTATAAGTGACAGATCATCAGTCAAATAAGTGACAGATCATCAGTCTATAAGTGACAGATCATCAGTCTATAAGTGACAGATCATCAGTCTATAAGTGACAGATCATCAGTCAAATAAGTGACAGATCATCAGTCTATAAGTGACAGATCATCAGTCAAATAAGTGACAGATCATCAGTCTATAAGTGACAGATCATCAGTCAAATAAGTGACAGATCATCAGTCTATAAGTGACAGATCATCAGTCAAATAAGTGACAGATCATCAGTCAAATAAGTGACAGATCATCTTAAGGCTTTGTGTATTGTTGGTCTTATTAAATATACATACTTCTTATCAGTGATTAAACAATTATATTTTATTATTATTTTGTATATTTTTTAATAAATTATTATTATTAATATTATTAATATTATTATTATTATTGTTTATTTGCCTAATTATTCTGTTATCCTCTTACTAAGTTTATTTTAAAATAATTAATAAAAAGAGTACTGGTCACAACAAATATTATTATTATAACCATTTTTTATATATATTTTATAAGAACAGTTTTTTAAATATTTTTATTATCAAAGTCCTTCACCTGGGCAATTAAGGATTTTATAATTGATGTACAAAATGCAACCGTTTTTATTCAAATTTTACGATATCTGACATTATTTTTGGTGAGTAATTTAAGAATTAAAATCATCCCGCTCTGTCTAAAAGAAATAGATTCCATTGTTTATATGAGATTTCGTAAATAACACGGCAGGTTTCCATTTGTGCACTCTTGCACAGAGAATAACACAATAGTGAGGATGTACACATTACCCAGCCCTATAACTTGTAAAATATAATGAAACTGACGACATTTCGATCGGTTCGTCCTGGATTCAGTCCAGGACGGACCGAAACGTCGTCTCTTTAGTCTATTTAACAACAATGATATCAGTATACATTGTCTTCAAATCCTGTTAAATATGATGGATAATTGGTTCATAAATTTAGAGTGAGATTTCATATATGTTAATTATTATAAGTTTGTTAACCTTTATTCACGCATCTAAATAACTTATAGGAAAATTATGTATATACCATGTTAACTATTGGTACTAATACTCACTGTCATTTTTATGGCGTAAAGAAACAACTAGATGATGAAAAATAATTCAGATTCATGTTTCGGTTTTAAGAGCATTATCGAGTCCAGCAGAAATACACAGGCCAGCTTTCTAACAGAAAAAATGGGTTACAGCTTAATACAAAAATAAATCAGTTTAAAAAAAATCCTGAAATACTTTTGGATGTTGTAATGATAACCTCAATTTTCATGATTTTAAGCTTTCATCTAAGAGTTTTGAACGTTCATTTTGTGTTGCGTCATGTTTGTGTATCACGTAACTGGTTGCAGGTGTTGCGTCTTGGTCGCGTGCGTGACGCAAGTGGTGCCTGTGTTACCTCGCGGTCGCGCGCTTGACGCATATTGCGCACCCTTTACCACTTCGTTGCGTTTGAGATACATGACGTACGCATGGGCGACACGCCACGCCTGCTTAAGGTTACTGACGCCCATAATCAAAGTCATTGTTACCATCACAGACACGCTGAAAGGTGTCGATATTGACCCCTTCTCACTGTCAATGGTCTCAAGTGGCCGCCATCACTATTGATTTCCTTGTATTTCATATGGCACCGCAGGAAACACTACGAGCTCCTGTAAGCAGCGTTGTTGTTGTTCCTGTAATTACAAGCTCCTGTAACCAGTGATCACGAGACAAGTAAATAGAACTTGTCAGTCATAAATCTTGACCTCTCTCTCTCTCTCTCGACCCTAGGTGACAAAACTGCCGCCATCCAGAGGTTGGGCTCCGGGAGTCCAGGTATTACTCAAGCTCTTGGCTCCGCCTCCTTCATCGTGTCCCTCCTGCTGACTCTGCAGGTCCTGCTGACGGGCTTGAGCTCCCTAGCCATCTCCGCTGGGACCTGATCCTCCTAGCAGCCGTCGTCCCCTGCCACAGGAGCATCTAACTTCTGCTACACTCGCTTCAGCAGCGGCACAAATGTTCACACTAGACTTGCAATGTTCCTGCAGTTATTTTTTTCCTTACAACAACTTAGGTCAATAACATTTCCCTGATGTCAAAAACCTTTATATATTTTGTTCTCCAAAATTATTTATTCTATTTTTTGAACGACCAGTAGAGTTTTCCAGTTAAATCAAAATAGAACTTTTCTCATGTACGAATCTTCCCTGGTCAGTAGAATTATCTTTTTCTTGAGAAAATACGTGAAGGAAGTAGCTGATTTTAACTCGGAGAAGTTTATATATAATTGCTAAATATTGCGAATTAGTTGTTGACTGTAGAACAAGGACAGCGACTCTAGGGATGACTCTAAGAGTTGTGCAGGAACTGTGTGTGTGTGTGCTAGTGCTGTGTTTCACTATGCTGTTGGTGTAGGCCACATCCCCGCCTTGCCCCTCGAACACCCCCCCCCCCCCCCAAGATGCTGCGTTTACTGTTCCCACACACCATAGGATCTCTTTTGTTATTAATGTAAGTAGTTGTGTTTGAGGGCGAGGCGGTTGACGTGCGCCTCATTCTACCGTCAATCCAGCTCATAAATGGGAACATTTTGCCCAATCTGTTGCCGGCTGTGTTGGTGAGTCATATGCAAGCCGCTTACATGGAGCGTGTTAGTCCACTGGACACGTCGACAGCCGAAGACATCGTCAGCAGATCCGTTGTCATTGTTGCTAATCCGTGACGTCATCGTTGCTGATCCGTGACGTCATCATTGCTGATCCGTGACGTCATCATTGCATCTGTACACCGCCAAACTCGCGTGCGATAACCAATTTGATTGCATAAAGAAACCTTTGCTGACAATCATGTTTCAATGAATGAGTTAAAAATTCACAAAGAAGTTTGAATTTCAGTTATATAGAAAAACAGTGCTAAGGAACGTTTGTACTCTTGGGAGTACCAGTTGGATGGGAAAACGTGACAGAAGACATCTTGTATCAGCAACAGAGGTTTCGCCTTTGAAGACGATTAA